GTGTGCCTGTAATCCCAGCTACTCAGGAGGCTGAGACAGGAGAATTGCCCGAACCCAGGAGGCGGAGGTTGCGGTGAGCCAAGATCGCACCATTGCACTCCAGCCTGGGTAACAAGAGTGAAACTCCGTCTCAAAAATAAATAAATAAATAAATAAACATGCTTTCCTTTCCAGCTTCTCCTTCTCATTTGCACCCTGACACACTTCTACCATTGCCCATGAATTTATGCATACAGATGCCTAGCCCAGGTGCCAGCTACACACATAATTTTTTTCTCAGTAAAGCTCAGCATGACACCTGCTGCATAAGATCTAATTAATTAGCAGAGATAAAAGAAAAACCTATTTTTCTTTTGATTCTTAATTTTAGTATGTGTGGAGTTCAGTGTTTCTTAGAAAAACTTTCTCTCAGAAGACTACTCATTTTAACACACAGCATATGTATGTTCCAGTTATGTATCTACAGCAACCTGCCTTAGCAAAAAAATAATAACTAGTCTGGATTCTGAATTTTGATCATATCAGAATTTGATTTTGAAAATTGCTGATAGCAAAATGTTAATAAAAAATATTACATCAACTGCAGACTTCCAGAAATGTTGTATTAGAGTTTCCCAAAGGCTTTCATAAACAGATTATTTAACTAATACAGTCTTTATTAATGCTCTCTTTGTAATTCTGAATATAGCACTAATTTATTCAGTTGCCTTACTGATTCAAGCAAGAATATAAACAGCATGAAGACATAAAATGTTGTGTCCTGATCTGACACAATTGCTTTAATAATGATGAGAAACCAGGCTTTACATAAATGGAATGTGATTATTCTCTCTAATACACAAAGTCTTACAGAGGCAGAAGTCTAGGTTTGCATTCTTTTCATAGGGCTGGAGTTATAAATTCTACAAGATCAGCTGCATATAGACTACACTCCCACATACACATGCACACATTAAATAACACTATCATTTTAAATGCTTTGTTAACGTATAATGTACATATAATCACCCCTTGTAATTATGCAGTTGATGAATACAAATGTATACAGTAGTTTTGTACCAGCAAAATCAATATATAGAACATTTCCATTAATCCAAAAAGTTTCCTCATGCTCCTCTGTGGTCAATGCTTTCTATGCACCCTGAACCCTGGCAGTCAGCAAGCTACTTTGTTCCATTTGGCATAATGCTTTTGAGTTTCCTGTATGTTGCTACATCTATCAGGAGTCAATTCTTTATTATTGTTAAGTAGTCCTCCATTTTATGGATATACCACAATTTGTTTATCTTTTCACCAGTTGATGACATGAGTAATTTGCATTTTTTGGCTATCATGAACAAAGCTACTGTGAACATTTGTGTAAAGATCTTTGTGTGGACATACATTTTCATTGCCTTTGAGTAAAAACATAGCAGTGGGTTTGGTGGGTCATATAGTAGTTATGTATTTTAATTTCTAAGAAATTTTACAAAGTAAAGTTGAAATAGTTTCAATTTCTACCAATAATTATGTTTGCTCCACATCTTTGCCAACACCTGGTATTTTTTAATTCAGTCATTCTAGTGGGTGTACAGTGCTATTTAATTTGTGATTTTAATTTGTATTTCCTTAATGACAAATGATGTTCAGCAAATTTTCATTTGTTCATTGACCATTCATGTGTTCTTTGGTGAAGTGTCTGTTCCAATCTTTTTTTTTTTGAGACGGAGTTTTGCTCTTGTTACCCAGGCTTGAGTGCAATGGCCCGATTTCAGCTCACCGCAACCTCCGCCTCCTGGGTTCAGGCAATTCTCCTGCCTCAGCCTCCTGAGTAGCTGGGATTACAGGCACACGCCACCATGCCCAGCTAATGTTTTGTATTTTTAGTAGAGACGGGGTTTCACCATGTTGACCAGGATGGTCTCAATCTCTTGACCAATATTTTTTTAAGAGAGTTTTGCTCTTGTTGCCCAGGCTGGAGTGCAATAGCATCGTATCAGCTCACCGAAACCTCTGCCTCCTGGATTCAAGTGATTCTCCTGCCTCAGCCTCCTGAGTAACTGGGATTACAGGCATGCATCACCATGCCTGGCTAATTTTGTGTTTTTAGTAGAGATGGGGGTTTCTCCATGTTGGTCAGGCTGGTCTCAAACTCCTGATCTCAGGTGATCTGCCTACCTCAGCCTCCCAAAGTGCTGGGATTACAGGTGTGAGCCACTGCGCCCAGCCTGTTCCAATCTTTTATCCAGTTTTTATTGATAATTTTATCTTTTATATTGAGTTATATATTCCGAATACAAGTTCTGTATTAGATATCTTTTTTACAAATGTTTTCTCCCACTCTGTGGTTTCCCTTTTCATTTTTTAAAGTGTCTTTAAAAGAGCAAAAATTTTAAATTTTGATGAATTCACAATTATCATTATTTTTCCTTTATGGTTCATCCTAAGAAATTTTTAACTAACCCAAGGTTACAAATTTTGTGCTTTTTCCCTATGTTTTCTTTCAGAATTATAATAATTTTAGCTATAAATTTTTAAGTTTTTAGCTTAAATTTTATAGTTTAGGTATAGCTCAATAAAACATTTCAAGTTAATTTTTATATGCAACATGAGGTAAGGGTCAATGTTCACTTTTTTCATATAGATATCCCATTTTTCTTGTGCAATTTAAAAGATTAATTCTTTCCCATTGACTAAACTTGGCAGCTATATTTTGAAAATCAGTTGACCATAGATGTGAAGGTTTATTTCTGAACTCTTTCTTATTTCGTTCCATTGATCCATTGGTTCACTGATGCCAACGCCGTACAATCTCCGTTACTGTAGAATTACAGTAAATCTTGAAATTAAATAGTATAAGATCTCCAAATTTGCTCTTTGTTTTCCAATTGACTTAGCTTGTCTGCTTCCTTTACATTTTTATATGTACTTTAGAATAATTTTCAGTTTCTACCTAAAATATAGTCCACTGGAGTTTTGATAGGAATCATACTGAATCTATAGATAAATTTGGAGAGACTTGGTATTTTAAAAATAGTCTTCTGATTTATAAGCATGGTATAGCTCCCTTTTTTTCTATTTTTTTTTTTCTAAAATTTCTCTTAACATTGTTTGGTAGCTTTAAATGTGCAGCCATTGCATATTTTTTGTTAACTGTCACCCCAGGTATTTCAGGTTTTCACATTGTAAATTTAAGCAAAGTGTTGGAAGTAACAGTCCTAGAAGTGGAACAGATTAAAAGCAAACAAAAACATCATCTGAAGTAATAATTCCAATTGGGAAGAAAAATGGCAATAGAATAATTGAACATCAAAAGCTATGTAAAGGAATTATCATTGCTGACTATTACTTTCACTTTTATATCTGAGCATACAAATTGGTGCTTTATTTACAATGGATAATAATATAAAATGCACTCAGAGACCAGTAAAAAAGAAAAAGCCCTGAACCTAGAATCAGGAGGCCCTGAATATTGAAGTATATAGTACAAGATAAATTAACCTTGACAAACATTTTCTCCTTCCTCATTTTTTGTTCAACTAATACTTGGCAAATGTTTATAAGAGCAAAACAGTATGCTAAATGCTATAAAATGGGAAGAATCCTTCACACCAAATCCTTAAGTGTTAGAATGAAACCTCAAATGAGAAAGAGTTATATGAAATAGTTTGGTAAGATAAAATATATATTTAATGTACTATTGTTTATTATAATTTTGGCATAAAAAGTTCATTTATAGGTGCTATTACTTTAATACAGAGCTCATACAAAAAGAAGAAAGTAGCTGTATAGCTAGAGAATCCTAAAAGTAATCACCACCTGATACACTGAAACCTTTTCTCTTCAATTACCTTGTAGTTGTATGATTTAAGTTGCCTCTAAATCCGTAGACATGGATGAAGACTGACTTGTTTTTAAACCCTACCAAAAAATTGAAAATTTATAAATGTTTTCCTTCCAGATGAAGAAGGTAGCCTTATTAATTTCTCTTAATAGAAGACCTGCTGACAATTCTTCTATTAGGAACCTGGCAAACTCACAAAGATGACAGATGGACTAAGAATTTAGAAGTATGCCAACGGACTTTATGCAAAGGAATATAGTAAAACATAAATTCAGTTTCTCTGGTTATAGATTGTTATGCAAAGAAAATATCTATGTATTGGTCACTATGTCATATAAATCGGTTGAAAAATGATTTTCTGGTTTTGTGTGTGTGTGTATTTCTTTTTTTTTTTTTTTTGATTTCCATAAAGGTTTCTGGTGTCAGTTACTGGAAGAAGGTAAAACAAAATGCCTTGGAAAGAGCAAAGGAAGAAAATACCCTCCAATGGATTCTGATGTAAGCATAGAGCTTGAAAATACAAACTAAACCAGCAAAATGATAACAAATAATATCATCTATTTTCTTAAAAAACTAAAGTCAAATTTCAGCCTTTCTAAAAATTAAAAGTTGCATTTCAATATCAGTACAGGTAGGTTGCTTGTTTTGATTTTACCCACAATATAGTATCACCTGTCATGCGAGAATAAAGGAAAACAATAGAATTTGACATTCTGAATAAGAACGAAAAGATAATATCTCATTCCAAAAGGAATGATACCTGCACAAAAATTTTAGCATAAATGTTAATTAAAACCAAGACAGGAAATATTATCAATTGGAAAGTAAAAATAGGACCAAAAGATTTCTATTTTTGGCTAGGCCGGTGGCTCACGCCTGTAATCCCAGCACTATGGGAGTCCAAGATGGGGTAGATCACTTGAGGTCAGGAGTTCGAAACCAGCCTGGCCAACATGGTAAAACCCCATCTCTACTAAAAATACACACAAAAAAATTTAGTTGGGCATGCTGTCAGGCACCTGTAATCCCAGCTACTCAAATTGCTTGAACCTGTGAGGTGGAGGTTGCAGTGAGCCAGGATCACACCATTGCATTCAAGCCTAGGCAACAAGAATGAAAGTCTATCTCAAAAAAAAACTTTTTTTAAAGATTTATATTTTTTTCACTGCTTGGGTCATTCTGTTGTAGCAAGTGTGCCCTGGGCAATAATATGAATTACTGACATATATATATACTATATATATACATATATATAGTATATATATACTATATATATATACATATATGTATATATAGATATATATATATAGTATATATATACAGTATATATATATATACACACATATATATACAGTATATATATATATATATACACATATATATATACACACACTAAGTTTTGAGCTGTTAAAATGCTAATAAAATGAAAGAATTAATATATTTCCCAATATCTATCATACTAACAGATAATTTAGGTTTTGGGAAATGTGGACACACACTTTGCAGTATGTATTCAGCACTTTGTGTTTATTCTGTTCAGAATGGTGACATGGCGATTATTTAATGCTACAGTTTCTCAATATCTATACCCCACATTTTTACTTTAATGCTTATTTGACATATATTGATTTCCTTATATTTTTATTTATTATTTTTCCATTTAGTATATAGTTTCAATATAAGAATGCAAGTAGATTATGATTTGTAATTTTTTTAGATCTCAAAAATTAAAATATGATTTGGGATTTTTCCCCCACAATTAATATATTACATTAAGAATCCTAAGACTGTCTGAGGATTCTAAGGTGGGTTAAACTTATTTGAATACTTTATCTAACAAGACCTTGAGGACCATTTTTTGTGCCTTGCCTGATAGATACAGGGCCTGTCCTCAGTAAACTCTTAATTAAATCATATATAGAAGAGAGAGGGGGTTTCTGCTGTTTTGATAAACAAATTGCATTTTCAGAACTCCAATTTTCTTTGGCTGATTATTAAAATATACCTTCAGAGCACTTTGAAAGCAATCCTAAAACATTAGAAGAAACTAACATACAATTTCTATAGTATTTCACGAAAGTAATATAAAGTATATCATCTACATTTATGTCCAAGCTATTTCCCGGCAAATTTATTAAAGCTAAAATGTTTAAGAGACATGGCAGAATATCTTTCTAAGCATTTTATTTTACTCTGGTCTAACGTAGGGAAAGATAAGAAAATCACAACTTTTCAGGATATCATTTCTTCTCAACAAAGTTACTGAGTAATCCATATTGGGTTTATTTAGGGTAGTGGCTGATTTTGTGAAAATAATGTCCAGAAAGGCGATAATAGTAAAGAGGTCTTTAATAGTGTAGGAGGGATTAGAGTGGGCAATACTATCACCATGCCATTTGCCTCTTCCTAATACGAAATGCCAGTGCCCAAGACTGTCAGTAAAATAACATAGGATGTGCTAAATAAATAGTCCATATGCTTAATTATACAAATTTTAATCCAGATCTGGTATACCTGACACTTACTTCAATATAGTCAAAGTATTTGAAATATAATAAACAAAATAAAATGTACTTTTTTCCCCTCCTCTCCACTTAGAGCAGGACATTTCTGTCAAGCTACTATCGAGATCACAATGTGGAACTCTCAAAGCTGCTGCACAAACTGGGTCAGCCTCTGCCATCCTGGCTGAGACAGGAGCTGCAGAAACTAAGATAGCACTGAGAGAAAACGAGACTTCATCTTCCATGTAGAACACACCTTTTCCAAAGCTTCCAGAAGCTACCAAAAGGCAGTTGAAAAATATACCTCTTCAAATGAGAAAAAAGAACAAAGTTTCTTCCATGTGCTGGCATGTGGATGATGAGAAAAAAGAAAGAGTATGTGTTACAAGCCTTGAGGCCTATGGCCTTTCTCTTAACCCATATCTGAGCCTGTGGGATTATTGTAGACTACTGTGCACTCATGTGGAAGCCAATTGCAACCAATATAAACATCAAACACAAATGCAGAACTGTTCCATTTCATAGTAATATTTACACTTTTATATGTCAACTAAGATTGTCTCTGTAGATTTCTAGACCACTGTTTGCCTGTACAATGTTTTCTTATTCTTTGATTCTGAAAAGTGTCCTACGAAACAAGCAGCAAAATAAACATCACAATGTAGCATAAAATGTCAAAAGCATAACACCCATGAAAAATGCTTGCCAAAATTTCAATCCACTGAAGTATTTAGAAATAATTTTAAGTTACGATTTGTACTAGATCAGAAAGTGGAAAAGTTATATATGAGCTTTATCTGCACCAAAAAAAAAAGATAAGTGCTATATCTAAAGAAAAGTGATTTTTTTCATACATAGTCTAGTGAATATATGTAAAAATTACTAACTCTTCCATCACAATATAAGTGTTATACTGAGATATATATTGTAAAGCTGTGGATGGTAAATAGAAACACACTCAGTATACCAAAACAGTAAATAACAATGTGAAGTATACTGACTAAATCCTCTGTAGGGGAGAAATTGTAGGGATCTAAAGACATATCATTGAGAATTCTATGTCCACTTGCTGTAAGCTGTGAATCTATTCCAGTAGTCCTCACTAGTTCTACAGAAATGCATGCCTAGAGTCTGAGGTATGTGTCATCTCTAGAAACAGGTTGACTTTTAAATGTGAATACCTTTTTTTAATGCTCCCCAAAACAAAACCTATTAAATAAAAACTAAAAACAGTTTCCCTAGATGATGTGGTTAGGCTATTTACATTTAGATTATTTAAAAATTCCATTTTCCCAGATAGTTCAAAATAAAATTATGTGATGTAGAGATTTATAACAAAAAACAAATTAATATATTATTTGTAATCTACTGTTTGCAATGATACTTTTGATATACGGCAAAGAGACGTAATCAGAGCAGAGGCCCATTTTCGAAAGTATCTCACCCATTACTCTGGTGGAATGAAAGATAACAGAACATAGGTAACATGGGTTAGCTACTAAATTAAATGCAGGAAGTACAAAGATGAGCAAGTCATGGTTCTTGAAATATATTTACATTTAAATTGTAAATGATATATATGGTTAATAAAGTATTCAAAAAAGAAAAGAATACATCATACTTATTTTCTTGTTAATATTTACTTAATTTGGGGGTGAAAGGTGGGACAGAGTCTCGCTATGTTGCCCAGGCTGGAGTACAGTGGCACAATCTCAGCTCACTGCAGCCTCCACCTCCTGGGTTCAAGCAATTCTCCTGCCTCAGCCTCCTGAGTAGCTGGAATTACAGGCACACACCACCACACCCAGCTAATTTTTGTATTTTTAGCAGAGATGGGGTTTTACCATGTTGGCCAGGCTGATCTCGAACTCCTGACCTCATGATCCACCCACCTCGGCCTCTCAAAGTGCTGGGATTACAGGCATGAGCCACCGTGCCCAGCCTACTTAATTTTTAAATGTACTTGCATGTACATAAAATTTAAGTAGTAAATTGATTCCCTGCTATGACTATAAGCCTTTATAAAATATTATCAAAGGTATGATTAGAAGAAAAAAGGAGAGGAAAAGCTATAGTTAAAATATTTTCATTGTCATTATAATATGTAAAATTATCAATTACTAATTAGAAAACAAATTGTGAGATCCACTTACTATAAATTTTTAAAGGTACATTATAATTACTAATTTTTTTAAGTTTTATGTACCTAAAGAACATACTAATTTTTAAATATACTGTTAGCAGAAGGAATTGGAAAAATAACCAATTTTTAAGACTCTTGACTCTAAAAGCAAAATCGAAGTCATTTGAACAAATATGGAAAACACAGTCTTCATGCTTACTGCTGACTCTTTTGAAGCAGCACGTGCCAGACATGCTAGAAAAATTACTATAGTCTTCCATCTCCACCAATTTAAGAAAACTGGCTTAGGAGGGTTAAACATAGCGAGAATAGGCCCCAGCAGTTATATACAGTACTACGTTTTCATTTGGCGACAACATTTATTATAATAAGAAAAGAAGGGAAAACTCATATTTATGCTTTAATGGTAAGATGTACATTTGAACTGCTAAGCAAAGCTGCTAATGGCATAATTTTGTCTAGGTAAATCGAGTTGACTGAACACCTCCTCCTTTCAAATAGATGTCAAAAATGTACTCCATGTTTGTATAGAGGCAGAAGAAAAAGGAAGAGATCTTACCAAAATTTATTCATTCACAAGTACTTGTATTATGCTACCCAGAGCAGCAAAGCTGTGAAAGGATTTTTGACCACTCAATGTGTCTTGAAGACAGCATCAAATTCTAGAGGACATGCATACTCTCCACATTATATACTCCAACTGGTTAATATGCTAATCTGAAAATAACATAAATGCATATGAAAGAATAATGAGAGATAATGTGATTTAAAACTAGCTTTGTATAGAATTCCCTTTTTCATTGTTTATGAAACTTCCTCAGGAAGAAATGAAATGATTATTTCAATGTTTATAGCTATAATATTCTTGTCATTCACATTGAATGAAAATTACTGGAAACATTTTTTTTCTCTGAGTTTTTTAAAATAAAAAACCTGGATATAAGTCTGATAGTAGCATGGTACCTCATATGTACAACAATAAACTGATAGGAAAATGAAGAGTTTGGACCTGGTGATTTTAGATAATCAGTAGGTATTTTATTGTCTTTGCCTGAGGGTGAGTGGGAGGTAGTTATAGAACATAGATACCATTGACATAATTCAAAATGAAGAGACAGAAAGCTTTCAAGTAGGATATATATCTATCCTATATTTATAAAACCTTTCACAGATCCTTCTCCTCCTAAATTTATATGTTACTTACAGTGATTTTTTTTTTAGTTCTAATAAATATAATGCAGCTCCTAGGTCATTTATGGGACTCTAGAATAAGAGAATACGAGAACCACACAGCTGTTAATAAATTGACTTAATTATAGCATTTCTTACTCCCAGTATTCTGTTCTGCCCATTTCTTTCTTCAGAGTTTTAAAAAGTGTTCATCTCTCTTTTCTAGAAATCTAGCAAAACAATCTCTGCAAAAAATGGAGGAAGGAGGGATTTAGGGAGTGTAAAGTTGCCATTTATCTTCATTCTCCACAAATTTTCTTTTCTCTCTTCCAATCCCTTTCTTTTCTAGACATCAGCTTTTCACATGTTGCCACCCACCCTATCTCGGTGCACCAGTTGAATTCCCCACAGGCTTGTCTCCCACACACATGGCTCACAGCATACTGATTGAGCTGGGACATCTCATCTCATCTTCTGCCTTCAGACTGTGATTTATAGCATTGGCTTCCCTGGTACTCAGGCTTTCAGTCTCAGATTGAATTACACTGTAAACCACCCAGTCTCCAACGTGCACAGCAGATCATGAGACTTCTCAGCCTCTGTAAGCATGTAAGCCAATCCCTCATAATATATCATATGTACATATCTCTCTCCTATTAATTCTGCTTTTCTGGAGAACTCTAGGACACACAGTTTCACTTTGATTCCATCCCCCGCAAAAATTTGCTATCTACTTCGAGTAAGCTTTTCGGCTGTGGCCAAGGATACCCAACAGAATGTAAGGGACACTTCTTCCAGACCAGTGCTGCTACTAGTTCTTGCCATTTATTGTCCCTAATTTATCTATAAGAGTTTTCTACAGACTTAGTGCTCTTAATAAATGTTAGAGTAAAATTTATTCCCTTATTTATTGGTACTGAAACTAATAAGTAAGTTGAACCTTCTTCCAATTAATCCTATAACTATCCTCATTGTTAAGTATTTATCACTTCTCAGTCTATTCCCAAAGTTATAAATACAAAAATTAATAAATCACTAAAGTTGGAATTAGTTACATGCTCACCATCTCATTTGGAGCATCTCTTAGAGAAAGAGGAATCATGAATAGTATCAATAAGTTAAAAAAGACATTTACTTGCCAGAGTCAAGTCAAATATCTCATTTACTATATTATAGTCAGATTTCTCAAGAGAAATAGAAATAGTGCCAGATACATAAACACATATGTACTTATAAGTATACAAATACATACACACACACACACTTATTTAAAGACTCATTATAAGGTATTGGCTTACATGATTTTAGACGATGCAAAGACCCATGGTCTGTCATCGGCAAGTTATAGACCCAGGAAAGCCAGAGATGTAGTTCAAAGGCCTGAGAGCCAGAGAGCCAATAGTGTTGCAGTCTGGGTTTGAAGGCCTAAAATCTAGGAGCACTGAGGACAGGAGAAGTTCAGTGTTCCAGCTTCAGCAGCCAGGCAGAGTTAACTGGATACTCCTCCACCTTTTTATTCTGTTCAGGCCCTTAATGGATCAGACAATGGCTACCAACACTGAGGGGAGTAATATGCTTAGCTCAGTCTACCAACTGAAATGCTAATCTCATCCAGAAACACGATCATAGCCACACCCAGAAATAATGTTTCACCAGCTATCTAGGTTTCCTCTGACCCAGTCAAAGTTGACACATAAAATTAGCCATTACATTTACCTAGCAATCCCTTTCCAGGAAGTCAAAGCAAATTTTACATATAACACGCTCACAGTATACTCTCCGAGATACTGTTAGAAAGAATGTATTTGCCCACATTTCACCATATAAAAAAGTGAATTACACTGAATAAAACGTGAGATGCTTCCAAAGCACCCAGGATCCGTGACAAATCTTACATAAAACTGTCTACATCAAGCTGCTTCTTGGTTTTGAGGGAATACATTAAGTGGAGGAAACGCCTGCTGTCTACATTTCTGATGCCAAAATGCTCTATTTCAAATCAATAACTGAGATGGAAGCCAGACCTGGTTCTTAAACATTATACATAATTTATACAGTTGGACCAAAGAAGATGAGTCTTCTCTATTTGATAAATAACATTCTGAATCTAAACTTTTTTCAGTTTCAACCACATTAAACGGAAATGCAAGCTCAACATGCTGTATACTCCTAGTGCTTTAGTTTATTGTTTCAGATCTTAATTTATATGCTTCAAAGCAAACAAAACTTTTTAAAGCCCACAAAACAAATATACTATTAAAAATAAAGTTTACTTCACATACAAGTGAATAAATTGACAAATTTTTAATAAAGATTATAATTTTAAAAACAATAAAGAGCTATGAAAATGCAATATTGATAAATTCTCCCTCTCACCTATCATCATCCTGAGAAAACCATATTGTTTTCATTCTCAGTTAATTGCAGGGATGTCCTCAGTGCAATCAGAATAGCAAAAAAGATAGATTGGACTATAATTCAACATCTGTTCTTAACTAAGTAACATTCTGTAGGTGGCTTTTCTAATCTCAATTTATGCATCTGTCAATGG